CTCACCAATTTATCGAGTTTCTCCTTTAAAGATCAAAATATTGTTTACTTCCCATATCAAGATGAAGATTTTTTTCGATTAAAAGACGATGTTTTTAATAAATTTTATCTTTTTCATTCCCTTCTTTATTCTAGTAATCGTGGTAATGGAGGGAATGATCGCAACACTACTTTCGCTCCTTACGATCTAGATAAAAGACGCATTCGAGTTTAATCTCCTTTGAAAAACCAACTCCAAGTAAAAAACGCCAGGGAGCATAACCTAAAAAATATATCAGTTGATTTGCCACGCAACCAACTGATTGTTTTTACGGGTGTTTCAGGTTCTGGTAAATCCTCTTTAGCATTCGATACTATTTTCAAGGAAGGACAACGTCGTTACCTTGCTTCTCTTTCAGCGTATGCTCGGCAGTTCATTCAAAATGTCGATCGACCAGAAGTTGATCAAGTTGACGGACTGTCCCCCACTATTTGTATCGATCAAAAATCGGTGGGACGGAACCCACGATCAACCGTAGGTACAATCACTGAAATTTATGATTTCTTAAGACTTTTTTTCTCTCGTTTGGGAACCCCAACTTGTCCTAATGGACATGGACCAATCAAAAGTCAGACGGCAGAGATGATTCTCAAACAGTTATATCAACAAAAGAAAAGCCAAACCCTTTTAATTATGGCTCCCATGGTGATTGATCGCAAAGGAGAATACCGTAAAGAACTAAAAGAATATGCTGAAAGTGGATTTGTTCGCATTTTAGTTGATGGGAAGTTGAGAAAACTGGATGAAGAAATCCTTATCCAGCGCTACGAAAAACATACTTTAGAAATTATTCTTGATCGAGTAAGCATTCTTCCAGAAAACCACTCTCGAGTTGCCGAATCAATTTACAAAGCGGTCTCTCTCACTTCTGGGAAAGTATCCTTTCTTGATTATGCAGCACTTGACGACAGCGAAAGTCCCAGGGTTACTTATAGCTCCAAAGATTATTTCATAACAAACATCATGAATTCCTGTAGCACATGTGGGGCGAGTATTAAGGAGATGGAACCTAAGATTTTTTCTTTTAACTCTCCGAAAGATGCTTGCCCCAAATGCTTGGGACTTGGTTACTTAGAAGCTTTCGACCCTCGACTTTTCGTGGTACGACCTAGCAGAGCAATCTTTGATGGAGCCCTCGCCGTTCTGAATCCTCATGGGAATGTCCTCTACACAAAGCGTGGGCAAAAAGCAATCACTAAACTTTTTTCAAAATATAAAACCTCTTTAGATACACCCTGGGAGAAGTTGCCAGTGAAATTACAAGATCGTATTTTAGTTGGCAAGGATAAAAGCGACTCCATTGAATTCGATTGCTTAACGGTGATTAAGAAAATTCATGAGAAATATAATATCAGCAACCTTAAACAGTTTCAAACCCAAGATTTTTGTGTGACTTGTGAAGGCAGTGGATTAGGTGAGATGGCTCGCTTCGTTACCTTTAACGGTAGGAATATTCATGCTTATAACCAGATGCAAGTAAAGGACTTATTTAAATTCTTTAACGAGGTGGATCTTTCTCAATTTACTGAAGAGGTATGGAAACCCATTCTAAAAGAAATTCAAGAAAGGCTTTTTTTCCTTATCAATGTTGGTTTGGATTACCTTACTATTGACCGCAAGGCAAACACGCTTTCTGGCGGAGAAGCACAAAGAATTCGGCTAGCAGCTCAAGTAGGTAGTGGATTAGGAGGATGCCTTTATGTTTTGGATGAACCTTCTATTGGTCTTCACTCAATCGATAATCAAAAACTTATTCACACACTCCAACAGCTGAAAGAGAGACAGAATTCACTAATCGTGATTGAACACGATGAAGAGACAATGTTGGAAGCTGATTATCTTGTGGAACTGGGACCCTTAGCTGGAGTAAGGGGTGGAGAAATTACATTTAGTGGTAAGCCAGAAAGCATTTATACACAGAGCAAGAAAAATATTTCTTCTATTAACTATTTGATTGGAGAAAAAAACATCTCTATTCGAAAACAAACTCGAGAACCACAAGCTTATTTGGAGTTGAATTCTATTAACCGTTTTAACCTAAAAAATCTTGATATTAAAATCCCCCTCGGCATCATGGTCGCCTTAACAGGCGTTTCGGGATCAGGGAAATCCACATTTTTTCAAATCCTTGCTGAAACAGTGAACTTGGGCATTAAACTGGGTTTGAACAAAATAAAAACTGAAAAGAGACACAAGGTCAGCCACTTACTTGTTAAGGGGTTGCATCAAATTGACAAAGTTGTAGAAATCAATCAAAAACCCATTGGTCGTACTCCAAGAAGTAATCCCGCAACCTATACCAATGCTTGGACAATCATTCGAGATTTATTTGCTCAAACACGAGAAGCCAACATGCGAGGTTATCCAAAAGGAAGGTTCTCCTTTAATGTGAAAGGGGGGCGTTGTGAAGAGTGCATGGGGTCGGGAGTGAATAAAATTGAAACTCAAATTTTTTCAACTATTGAAGTGATTTGTGAAGCTTGCGACGGGAAACGATTTAATCATAACACTTTATCTGTCTACTACAAAGGAAAGAATATTTACGATATCCTCGAGATGAATATTGAAGAGGCTTATGATTTTTTTAATGGCATTCCCCGACTTGAAAAAATATTAGGTTTTCTTTTAGAGATTGGTCTTGGATACATGAAGTTAGGACAGAACTCCACTACTCTTTCAGGAGGAGAGGCACAGAGGATCAAGTTAGCCGCTGAGTTAAGTCTCCCAAGTTTAAACAAGACGCTTTATTTATTAGATGAACCAACCACTGGTCTTCACTTTGAAGATATTGAAAAGCTTCTTCACGCAATCCAAAAATTGGTGGACAAAAACAATACGGTGCTTATTATTGAACACAATTCCGAAATCATTAAGTCTGCCGATCACATTATTGAAATGGGGCCTAAAGGAGGTGAGGAAGGAGGAAAAATTGTTTTTAACGGTTCACTCAACCAGTTGTCTCAATCCCCTACTGCAACTGGAAAATTTTTTAAACGATACCTTGATCGACAAGAAAAAAAAGAAAAAGGTTATTTTTTAAAAAAAAATAATCAAAAAAAATTATTCAGCTCACATTCCAATTCTGATCGAATTCCCTCTATTGAGAAAAAAAGAGAAGATGAAAAACCCAAAAAAACAAATCAAAAAAATCCTGCAAAGTCAAAAGAAAATAAAAACAAACAAGATTACATCGTTGTCGAAAGTCTAAGAACTCACAACCTTAAAAATATAAATCTCTTCTTACCTAAAAATCAGATTATTGTTTTTACTGGAATCTCTGGCTCAGGTAAAACATCTATTGCATTAGATAGTATTTTTTCTGAGGGGCAAAGAAAATATTTAGAAAGCCTATCCACCTATGCACGAAGGTTTCTTGGACGCCTTGAAAAACCGCCTGTAGAGAAACTTGATAATCTCTCACCTACCATTGCCATTGATCAAAAAAAAGGAGGATCTGGTCCTCGTTCAACTATTGCTACCCAAACAGAAATCTATGATAGCTTAAGGGTTCTTTTTGCGAATATCGGGATTGCTCATTGCCAAGTGTGCTCCAAACCGCTAAGAAGGGACAGTGAAACGATGGCTGCCAAAAAACTTATTGAACGTTTCGGGAAGAATCATGGGAATCACTCATCCCAAGATCACACCACTGCCCTTATTCTGGCTCCCGCACATCTTGCCAATTTACAGGGGGATTTTATCATCAAGGAAATAAAAGATTTCCCTAAAGTGAAAAAAATTCTTTCTGAAAAAGGTTTTCTAAGATGGTATATTGATGGGAAAGTTTACAAGGCAGAAGAAATTGGAGATCATTACAAAAAATTTCAAGAAATTTTCCTGGTGATTGATCGTCTTGAAATTAATTTAGAAAATGAAAGTCAGTTGATAGCTGACTTTGAGAAAGCTTATGAGATCGCTTCTCAAACTGCAGCAGTATTTATTGAAGACAAAGAACTGATTTGGTTCACGGGTTACGATAGTTGTTGGGAACACCAAAATTTTATTCGAGAGACGATTACCCCAAGACATTTTTCTTTCAACCACCACCTTGGTGCTTGTGAAAACTGCGAAGGTATTGGCAAACAAATGGGATTAGATGAATCCAAGCTAATTCCCCATCCCGAACTTCCATTTATAGACGCTTTAGATAAAAGAGTGAAGCATATTCTTAAAGAACGATTAGAGAAATTAAAAAATTATTGGGATCGTCGAGTTACTTCAACGAATTCGCTGAATCGTTTGATTGAAATACCCTACCACCAACTCTCAGAAGATGAAAAAGCATTCCTTTTTTTTGGTAAGAATTATTTTAATGATTTTAATATTCTTGATCAAATTGAAGAAAAGTGGAGAGGTTTAAGTTTTGAATTGCTTCCTCAATCTTATCAAAGAAAAAAGCAATTTTACCAGTCTTTTAATCATTACTCTATTGATTACCATTGGGTGAATTCCTATACCACCTGCCCCATTTGTTTGGGAGGCAGACTAAAACCTTACCTGCTAAAGATTAAGGTAGGCGATAAGAGAATCGACGAAATCCTTCATCAGGGAATCGTAGAGTCCTATGATTTTTTTGTGAATCTTCACAATGTGTTGAATGCTTATCAGTTAAAAATTTCAAAAGCGGTTATAGAAGAAATTACTTTTCGTTTGAAACAGATGTTGAATTTAGGCATTGACTATTTAAGTTTAGACCGTTCCACTGATAGTCTTTCAGGGGGAGAAATGCAAAGAATTCGTATTTCCACCCAAGTTGGCAATCAGCTCCGAGATGTCATTTATGTTCTTGATGAACCTACCATCGGACTTCACGAAAGGGATAATCAAAAACTAATTAAGATGTTGAAATCTTTACGAGATCTTGGAAACACTGTGATGTTAATTGAGCATGATGCCCAAATCATTCAATCTGCCGACCATATCGTTGATATTGGTCCCGGTGCAGGCGAATGGGGAGGTGAAGTCATTTACTCAGGACCTAATCAAAAAAATTTAATTAAAAAAACTAGTTTCTATCCTTATTTAACAAGTTCCCTTTCTCGCTCCAAGAAGCCACAAGAGAAATTTTATTATCAAAGAGAAAGTTTTCTTCCATTTAACTTAAAAAAAGATGTTCATCTTTTTTTAAGCTCTATCCATCGAAACAACCTTTCAAATCTCCTTTTAAGACTACCTCTTAATAAATTAGTTGGCATTTCTGGTGTTTCAGGATCAGGTAAAAGTTCTTTTTTTGAGTGGTTGGAAGAAAAAATTCAAAAAAAAATTAAAGAAACAAAAACCAAGCAATCCAATTCCAACCAATCCATTGTTTGTATGAAAAATAATTGTGAGACCTCCTTCCCTATTGAGCAAATTAGAATAGTGGACCAAACACCCCTTTCATCAAATAAACGTTCCACCTTGGTGAGCTACATGGACATTTTTTCTGAAATAAGAAAAATCTTTGCTGCCAGTCGATCGGCTAAGAATAAGGGCTATGATCTCTCTTATTTTTCTTTTAATTCCGCTAAAGGGCAATGCCCTAAATGTTACGGGCTGGGTGAAGAAGAAATTGAAATGCATTTCATTTCTAATGTCACGATTATCTGTGAAGAATGTCAAGGGAAGCGATTTAAACGAGATGTTTTGGATGTTTATTTCAATGGGAAAAATATTCATGAAATTTTGAATATGACTTTTTCACAAGCTTTAGACTTTTTCTCCTCATTTCGAAATTTGCAAAAAAAACTATTACGCCTTATCGATGCCGGATTGGGGTATTTAAAATTGGGGTTTAAAACCTCACTGCTTTCAGCTGGAGAAAGACAGCGATTAAAAATTGCCTATGAGTTGGCCTTTGATGATCCGAAAAATGTCCTCTACCTTCTTGATGAACCTACAAGGGGTCTTCATTTCCAAGACATTGAAAAATTAATTGTTATTTTAGAAAAACTCATTTTTACTGGTGGAAGTGTTGTCGTGATTGAACATAACATTGAATTTTTAAGAAGCATGGATCACCTCATCGATCTTGGACCAGAAGGTGGGAGTGGTGGAGGAAAAGTCGTTGCTGAAGGAGATCCTAGACAAATTTCTAAAAAAGATTTTACAAAAAGTTATACTCTTGAATATTTGTAAAACCTAAAACACTTGGAAAGGTTATAGTATAATTGATAACTCATGCTTAAATTTTTTTTGTTTTTTATTTACTTTTTTCTAATTTCCTAATAGAATGACGATGCAAATTTAGAAATAAAGTTCATATTTCCTAAGCGGTAAAAATTTCTTGTGATAATAAATTAAACTCGGAACAACCACATGAGCAAAAAATCTATAGATGAAGTTTTCTCTAAACCAGGGTTGAAACTCATGAACCATGTGGTAGCAGGCTATCCTAATCCAAAAATGTGCTTGGATTGCCTCCAAGCAATGGAAGCCAATGGCACGGATATGGTTGAAATTCAAATTCCTTTTACTGATCCAATGGCAGATGGTCCCACTATAGTTAAAGCCAACCATGATGCTCTTTCCAGCGGAATGAATGTCAAAAAAACTTTTGAATGGATAAAGGAAGCTAAGGGAAAAACTCAATTACCTCTTCTTATCATGACCTATTACAACATTCCCTATCAAATGGGCTTAAAGGAATTTTTCCGCCGTGCTGTGGATTGCGGGGTGAGTGGGATTATCATTCCAGACATTCCCTTTGATGAAGCCCATGAACATTATCCAGATAAAATATCTTCATTTGACCTTCATCCCATCCTGGTTGTCTCTCCAACCACAACAGTTGAACGATTACAAAAAATCAATCGATGGGGTAAAGGATTTGTCTACACTACCTTAAAAGCTGGGGTCACCGGAACTAAGAAATTGATTGACGATTCGAGTATTCGTTTCCTGAAGCAATTAAGGAATTTCTTCTCCATCCCCATTGCTGCTGGTTTTGGTATTCATTCCCCTGAACAAGCGAAGGAATTATCGGACAAAGTAGACATGGTAGTCATTGGCAGCAAGGTTATTCAAATTCTTGATTCCAAAAAAGACCCTCTGTCATTCATTGCCGAATTTATTCGATCTTGTAAGTCTGATTAATACGGTTGAGCATCCATTATGATTTAGTCGTTATTGGTGGCGGCATCATGGGGCTTTCCACTGCTTTTGAAATAGCTTGCAATTTCACTAAACCTGAAAAAATTTTGCTTGTCGATGAAGGTTACTTTGTCAACTCGGCAAGCTACAATGCGGCAGGAGTTCTTGCCACACAGGGTGCTCAGTTCTTTCTTTCTCCCCTGCGTAAACAAATTGTTACATCCACTAGAAGTTATCCTCAGTGGCTTCAAAAGCTCTCTAAAGTGGTAGGAGCAAAAGAGAAAGTAGATGACTTATTTGAATATTCTTCAGTTGATGATTACTACATTTACAATCTCAATGATGAAGCAGAAAAAGCTGTTTATGACAAGCGCTGCCGAAGATTGAAAAGAGAAAATGCTAATGATGGTATTTTTATTGAAGGGATACCCGATTGCCTTAAAGCAATGGGATTGAATACCGAAAAAGACTGTTCTTATTACCAGACTATTTATTTCCAAAACCATCACACTATTTCTTCTAAGAAATTATTGGACTGTTTATTAGTTGCTGTTGAGAAACTTGGAGTGAAGATTGCTCATTCGTCGGTAATTGACATTGATCGAAAAGGACAATTGAAATTGATTTCTACAAATGGTGAAGAGCAATTTATTCATGGTAAGCAAATCATCCTCACTGGTGGCAATCGGACAAAAAAATTACTTGAAAAACTAAGCTATTCACATCGCCTCAAAAGTTTGCAGGGACTTCTCCTTGTTCTGGAAGCATTCGATAGTTTAAAAAATATAACCAATCAAAACAAGGAAATAATGACCCATCTACCCAATAAAAGGTATTTAGTCCAAAAAGACAATAGTATTTTTTATGGATCCATTAACATTCCAGTGGAAGAAGATTATTATGAAGAAAGTGTACAAAAAAAATACCAAGACATTCTCTTAAAAGAAATTGAAGAACTTTTCCCTTCCCAAACCATCAAAATCAAGCGGACACAAGGAGGTCACCGTCCTTATAATGTGGACAAGCTACCTTTATTTGGGTTTTTGACTGAAAACATATGGATCAATACCGCTCATTATAAAAGTGGATTAGCTTTAGCTCCTCTTCATGCGGGGAAAATGGCTGAAATGTTTTTTAAAAATTTAGAAAGTGTCGAAAGGAAAAGTGAATTAAAAGAAAGTCTTTTCGAAGGAGATTGGAAAGAATTCTATCCCCTTTATCCTATTAGGAAGAGAGGGCTAAAACTTTTTTCTTAATGGCCATCACGTAACCATAGTGAAGAGATTCATGAACAGCAGCATATTGGATAGCATCTTCCACACAATGGAGTTTAGCTCCAGAGCCAGTTTGATAATATTTGAAATTTTCAAAAACCTTCTTATTGTAATCTTTCTCCATACCCTCTAAGGTGGAGAGGGTAAGCGATTTAAGCTTATTAATTTCTTTATCGTCTACTTCTCCACTCGGCTGGTTACCGTAACAATAGCGGGTGGCTATCTCTTCATCAAAAGGCAGATTCAAGTCTGAATTGCGATAAACCTGCAAGCTGGTTGTAACCCACGAGTGTGCTAAATTCCAAATTATATTATTTTTGTATCCTTCAGGAATAACATTGAGTTCCCTTGTGTTCAATCCTTCAATTATTTTTAAGAAATTACTTCGAATTAATTTTAATAAAATAAACTGGTAATTTATTCTTTCCATGTCACTGCTAGGAATTTAATATTTGTCGTTTAATTGCCATCGCATAGCCCAAATGGAGGCATTCGTGAGCAATAGAGAAATCCAAGGCTTCTTCTACATTGCTTAGCTTCACACCAAAACTCGTTTGATAAAGATGATAGTTTTTAAAAACCTCGTGTTCATAATCTGTCTTTAAATTACTTACACTCTGTGCGGAAAAAGAATGGATGCTATCAACCTCTTCTTGAGAGAAAGTTTTTTCTACCTTGCTATCCTTTTTAAAGTCATTGACCCATTTTTTGTCGAAATTTAAAGTTAAACCAGAATTAACATAGACTAGTAAATCGGTACTAAGAATGGAATGAGCATAGTTCCATATGACATTGTTGCTAAAACCCCTAGGCACTTGATTAATTTGCTCAAGGGTCAGCTTTCCCATAACTTTTTTAAAATTATCCCTAGTCACTTGGAGTAATGAGAGCTGATAATTGATATTTTTATTCATTGTTATTAATCTTTATTAGAACTTCGGTTCATTCCCTTTTTTCCATTTGATGTTGCACCCCATACTGGGGGTGAATTTCTCTAATAATGGTTTTTTAGCAAGCAGATGATCAATCGCCTGCTTTAAATCTGATCCAGTAGATGGTCGGTCATTACCTGGACGGCTGGAATCCATCTGTCCTCGATAGAATAGTTTCTTATCTTTATCGAATAAGAAAAAATCAGGAGTGCATGCGGCATAATACTTTTTAGCAATATCCTGACTTTCATCATAAAGGTAAGGGAATGTAAATCCCCAATACTGAGCAGCTTCAGTCATTTTTTCAGGGCGATCTTCTGGATACTCCGAAACATCATTGCTACTGATCACTATTACTTCGATCCCCTTTTGTTGATAATGTTTAATCATTTCTACAAAAGCAGTAGCGATGTGTTTGACAAAAGGGCAATGATTACACCAAAAGGCAATTAAATATCCTTCTGCATTAAGATCCTTGAGATTAACTTCACCATAACCGTTAGTGGAAGGCAAGATGAAGGAAGGCGCTTCCTCACCAATAGGAAGGTGCATAGTAGATAATGTTTTAGCCATTGTCAAATATTGTGACGAAGCACAATTCTCCCTTGAGATTTTCCTTCTTTCATGAGCATTAAAGATGCTTCTAATTCATCCAATCCAATCACTTTTTTAAGATCATGAAGCTTTTGAGGTTTCCAATTGGTAGCTAAGCGATCCCATATTTGTTTTTTTAGATTAATGGGACACATCGCACTATCAATCCCATAAAGTTTTACGCCACGCAGAATGAATGGAAAAACACTACTAGTGAGCTTAATGTCCGCAACCATTCCGCAACAAGCAATTGTTGAACGATAGCCCGATGTTCGAAGTACATCGCTAAGGATACTTCCCCCTACTGTATCGACTCCTGCTGACCACTGCTCCTGGAGAAGAGGTTTCTTCTCATCCAAACCCGCTTGCCAATCGGATGGTGATGCGACAGCTTGCGCACCACATTGTTTAAGGAAATCCCCCTCCTTTCGACTAAGGGCATGAACCGAGTAGCCGAGGTGAGACAGGATCATCACTGCAAGACTTCCAACTCCCCCACTTGCTCCTGTAACGACAACCTCCTTGGACATGAGTTGCTCATGGTCAGTATTGCCTAAAATAGCTTCGATGCATTGTGCAGCTGTAAAGCCTGCTGTTCCGTAAATCATGGCTTCTTCTAAACTCAACCCATCCGGCTTTTTCACTACCCACTCTTGAGGAGTAAGGATGTATTCTCCAAAGCCCCCATCAGTATTCATTCCCAAATCAAAGCCTGTGACAATCACCTCGGTGCCAGGTGGAAAATCTGCGGATTGACTTTCTTCTACCACGCCAGATGCATCAATTCCAGGAACATGGGGGTAATTACGGGTTACTCCCTTGTTGCCGATGGAGGAGAGAAAGTCTTTGTAGTTAATCGAAGAAAAATGTACCTTGATTAAAACCTGACCCGACTCAATCTTAGGTTTTTCCATTTCAACAACTTTTCTTTCAAATTGTTTTGCTTCTTTTTCAATTACTTGAAATGCTTTGTAAGTTTTCATGATGTTTCCTTTTAAAAATTGTAAGTGTAGTATTCATCGCATTTCTTACAGAAAGACCATTTCTGTAAGTGTTTTTCAAAATAATCTTGACCTTTTTGATAAATTTCTTTGATGGGTTTTTCAAAAAGATTACCCAAAGGGAATTCTTTTTGAAAATCCTGTTTGCACATCCAGACATCTCCCCAGCAGTCGATTTTAAAGTCCCTTTTCAGATGCCAACAGTCGATTTGTTCAAATGGTTCCATTGGTGAAATACGTTTTTCTGGCAAGTGCCCTCTGTAATGATTGTATTTACCAATGATGATGTTCTTAGTGTATTTGGAAAAGTATTCATGATACTTAGGAAGGTGTTTAAAAGTCTCTGTTGTTTTAATGGTTTGCAAGTAAGCCCCCTCAGGACGACGGAGGAGGTAGTATTCTATTTGATTGAGAATTTCATCTAAGGGGAATCGGTCTCCACGGATATCTTTGTATAGATTGTTGTCAATGGCTTCTACCTTGAATATGATCGTCAAAAAATCTTTTTTTGGATGTTGCAACCAATAGTTACTCACTTCCTCATCCCAAAAAATACCTGCAGTCTCCAAGAAACAAGAAAGATCTCGATTGATGACTTCATTAACGAAATCTTTCCATTGAGGATGTGCAGTCATTTCTCCAAAACCTTCAATAGCAATGATCGGCTGATGGGAGAACTCCTCTACCTTATCTAGTATTTTTTTAAAATCCTCTATCGACATATCGGCTTTTTCCTCTTCCAGCTTTGGAGAAAATTGATAATCTTGTTCCACTCGATTGGTAATAGCAATTTCATAATATTTAGGTATGGTTCGTAGAAGATCGCGGTGATCTAGAATCTTTTTGGCAAAATCAACATAGTTTAATTGCGTATAATCATCCTCTTGATCGGGGAGAGAGCGAGGAGAAAAAAGTTTTTTGATTTTATTGATAACAAATTGATCCTGTAGATTGTCGGAGAAAAATGACAACCTCAAAGTTCGCAAACTGATTTCGGCATAGTGATTTTCCAAGTCAAAGGTATTCACATCGACTGCAATAATTTTTTGAAAACACTCCCGAGAAACTTCAATATTATTTTGCTGTCGAATATTTTCTAATACTGGCAGGGTGCTTCTCCTTAATATTTCCACAATCATTCCTTGCGGGAAATTGTCACCAAAAGCTATATCAACATCATAATCTACGAAATTTTTTATCAGTTTTCGGTTCTCTTCTAAATTATAAAATTCGCTATCGCAATGACCCAAAATGATCCCGTCATAGCCTTCGGTTTCT